GGAGCACAGGGCTCTGCATGCAGTGACATGATGCTCATTTTGCAGAACGTCTGCATGCTCTGCTCGTGAACCATCAGTCCCTCACCAGCAAGCCCATTCTCAGACACATTTGGCTCCTAGAGAAGGGATAATTTATAATTGTGACATTTCCAAGGTTTCTCTCTTTTTCTCTCCTCCTCCCAAATGGTTAAAAAAAAAAAAAGAAAAAAGAAAAAAGAAAAAAGAAAAAAGAAAAAAGAAAAAAGAAAATGGGCCAAACCATCTGAGCTTTAACAGGGGGAGTGTGTGCTTCTGCTTTCTTTGCAGACTGCTGTCTCATTCTGAAACTGCACATTTGATGTGCTTTTATAATGAGTTCATTTGCGCCCTGACAGATGTTTCTGATACGATAAGGAACGTGGCCCAGGAGCCAGCGGCGCTGTGGAGCCACTCGTGTTCCTCACCTGCATTGCAAATGAGCTATCGCTTTCTTATCAGTTAAAAAACATGAGCAACTGCACATACAAATAATGTGCCACCGACTGCCAGCTGTTTGTGCCAATGACATTCTTCATAAAAGAATAGATCCCCCCCCATCATCTGTTCTCTTCCCTCTTGCAGAAAATCAGGAGTTCTTTTGCAAGCGCAGCAGAAGAGAATTTTCTCTTTAAGCTTCAGACAGAGCAGCGAAAATGTCACTTTAAAGTAATTATATATTAGCAAAAAAATAACTTCCATATTTGGCACAGGTAATAGTTGATTGGAGGTGGGGGGGGAAGGTAATTCATTGTCCTATTTCTGCATATCTCTGTAGGCAAGTGTTGGTGCTGCTGTCTGTTTCTTAGGGATTCCTTTTTAAAGAGTTTGGTGTCTTTCAGTGTTTTCAGGGTTTCCATTCTGAATGCTGTGGAAGAATGTTACTCTGCTTACAAAAAGCCCCTTCTTTCCCCCCTTTTTCCCTTCTTTTCCCCCCTTTTCCCCTTTTTCTTCCTTTTCTTCCCTTTTTCCCCCTTTCCCCTTTTTTTCCCCTTCTCTTCTTTCCCCTTCTTTCCTCTTTTTCCTTTTTTTTTCTTTTCCCTTTGTTTTAAATCTGAGGGACAGCCCTACATCACCTTTGTCTTAAGGTTTCTAAAAGATTGGGTTTTAGCTTTCTTCTATTCAAAGTGAATTTAAGAACACTCTTAGAATCTCAGACACAGAACCTTCATTACCAAATACTGCAATCAACAGAGCTTAAAAACACTGCAAGGTAAAATTGTTCTGGTAATTGCTTTGCTCGTGTAAAATTGAAAAACACTTTTCAGCATTTTGCCAGCTACAGGCAGAGATGTATTTCTCTTGCAAATGACCTTCTGGGAGAGCCTGACTGCGGGGACATGATTCATTGGCAGCCTGCTGGTGACAGGCATGTTCCCATTGTTCTAAAAGTCTGGTTTCACATTTCTCCCGTTAGATAAGCTGCAACCATTAACTACACAGTGAGCTACAAACAAAGTGTGATGTAAGAATTCAGCTTATTATCTGATTGGCAGCGTGGGGCTGCTCTTCCAGGTTAAGGATTTGAGCAGATTTTTTTGACAAAACTGCCTTTTCTTGCAGTTCAGAAAGCATTGTCCTCCCAAAAGATGAAATATGCTTTTGGAAGCTGTGGTGTATATATAGTGATAGAGTGAGCTATAAATAGTCTGGGGCTCGTTCTGCACAGCACCATGTGCACAAGTATTAAGGACTGATTCTGAACGTCGGTTACACTGAGATACGCCACTTAAATGCTGTGGCTTTTGGACTTGACTCAGGGAGTTGAGATTCACATCAAGATCAGAATCTGGTCAGGGGGTTTGAATGTGTTTTGAGGAACAAAGGAATTCAGTGGCCTTCGCTTAATCCTAGTTTTAGTTGGAGATTACATATCAATTTCAGGAGCTATTATTTGGGCCTAATACAAAGGCAAATGGATTCATTCCTAAATGAGGAACAGCTGACTATCATGCAAGCTGAAAGTTGTTCAATCTCCTCCCATAGTTCAGCTACTGTAAATGGATGTATGTAAGGATTTGGAAATGGTTGCCGTTAGGATCCTTCTGAAGCTAAAATGACTTTCAGCAATGGAATGATTTATGATGATGTTGATATTCACACAGGCTATTCATCCGACCACAGTGGCTGATGGGTCTCTGTTTCCTAGGCCGTAAGCTGGTTACAGGTGCTGGAAATAGGTCATCTAGCATTATCTCCCCTGCTGCAAAGGCATGAAGGTGAAGGGGGGAGAATAAAAGTACCTGTTTATAATGGGTTATCGACTGTGTGTTATCTCTTCTACTGTAAAATCTTAGTGGGACAAAGCTTGGTAGTGCTACTAAGGGCACGTGAGGCAGGGTCAATGCCAGAGTATTAACCTTACTTAGCAAATTGGTGATAAACATAATAGGTCTCTTGTTCCTGCAAGGAATTTTACAGCTCCTGGTCATGCATTAGAACTGACTGCCCTCCCTTGCAGCCTCACATTTTAACAGTGAGGAGAAGGGCTGTTTGCACCTCCCATTTGTGCCCTTTACTTTCAGTGCAGTTTTGAGACCTAATTCTGGGTGCCTGTGTTGATTGCAAGAGTAATAGTCAAGACAAGGAGCTGCAGGATTTGACAGAGTAGCTCATTCACATCAGTGACTTCACTGTGGCTTTTGCAGTATTTGCTTGAGGTCTGTGATGGTCTTGGACGTACCTGAAATGAGGGCAATATTGGAGGTAGGTGAATGGTTGGTTGGACCAGATGACCTTAGAGATCTTTTCCAACCTTAATAATTCTATGCTTCATGATGATCTGTTCTGTAAGACTCACGCTCCTTTTAAAGAGAAGACATCAGCCCTCCCAGTCACCTTTACCAGCCTGAGCGGGCAGTTTATCTAACAAACCTCTTAGTCACTCTTGGGGCAGGACTTGATCCCTACTTGTGGTTAATCTGATGTCCTGACAGCTCTCTGAGTCTGTAGAAAGGGGGCAGGAGAGGCACAAACAACTTGTTCTGTAGGCTCCTTTGGGGAACACTGCCAATGGGTCAGGCTGAAACACTCATGGTTGGGCCCATCGTTGGCTGTGGGGATCAGAGCACATTTCAGAGCTGCTGCAAGATACTCTGTTTCATGCCAGACAGAATGAAGGGACCTGAAAGGGTCCGAAAGTTGCTTTGTGCTCTTTGTCTCTCTAAAACTGTCCTGTCCTCTTTCTTTTCCCCCCCTGTATTTCTCAAAGCAATAGTGCAATAGTAATCCCAGCAGTCCCTTCCACTTCTGCACCCTAACCTCGTGAATGTCTTTACTTGTTTACTTGTTTTAATCCATGGACTCTTTACTCTGGCCATTCTGCTCGTTAGCAGTAGCCTTCAAGTTCAAGCTCACAGGTGAGCACCTTTCATCCTTAGCAGCAGCTCTGGTGCTGGCTGTGGAAACATCTCCCCCTATCTTCAGTTTGTGCCGGGCAGAGAAGGGAGCCTCAGTGACAGGCACAGCTCTATTTATCTGGCCAAGTCCGAGCACATTCCCAGAGAATTTGTGAAATACTGAATGATCAGTGGCATGAGCATGTGACTACAAGTCACTGGATAGCAAGCTATGTGAAAAAGCATCCACAAAAGAAGAAAGTCTGAAAGACTATCTGGTGATAACGCTCAGTTTAGAGAAGTGCCTTCCTTGTGAGTGAGTACTGAGTCATACGGCAGTAACGCAGCTTTCCTCAAGGTTCCTCTTTTGCTTGCAACCAGTATGGGTAATGCTTTACTGAAAGTAAACATGTTCAGATGCAGCTTCAAATACTCATGGCCTATGGTCTCTTTTTCCTGGCTGCTTGACCCCAACATCCCTGGGCTGCCCTGCTGAATCATCCTCCTGTGCACTTCTAGTTTCAGGTTCCCTGGTTTGGCAATCATGCCTTTCAGCACATTAAATGACAGTTTTTTTCAGTTCAGCATGGGAGTTTGCAGGGTTGTCATTTGTTAGATGTGGATAAAACATTTCAATCTTTGAAACTGAGGACATGGTGTCTTAGGTTTGATCAGTTACCATTATAAAATACAGTTAAGCTTATTTTGAGAACTGATGGAGTAAGACTTACTCTCATGTAGATGTCAGGTGGCACTTGTTTTCCATGTGCCTCTGTTTCCAGCTGGGCTGGCTTAGGCAGTAACGTGCCACTGAACATCAAGAAATAACAAACTGACGTGAATTATTCCTTTTCCATCCTTCTTATCATTTCAAGGAGTTCATCCCTGCCTTTCAATGACTACAGGGATTTATCAGTTTTCACTGACAGGATCCTATTTTGTCTAGATCCTTCTTTATTTAGTGGTTACAAGATCATATAGAGGAGGCCCCTTGAACTTTGTTAGCCTTTTTTTTTTTTTTTTTTGGAATTACAGCTTTTCAGTGAATTCCCTTTGATACTTTCCCAGATTCTCTCACCAGCTGTTTTTCCCCCAACCATTATATGGTTAATGGGCACAGATTCAGAACTGAAATGAGTAAAATGAGCACAGATGGTTATCTTTCTTATATTCAGCTGAACAGAATGTGTCCCTCAGTGACACTCCATGCACAGTGCTTGGCAGTGGGAACTTTACCAAGAAATGCCAGCTCAGCTCTCGTTCCTTTTGGAGGGCAAGCAAAGGAGCCTGTAGAGCTTGCTTTAAATTTTCTCCCTTGCTTTGCTGTTGCTATTATTGTGTGCAAGGTTTATTTGGCTTTTCAGTGAACAGAAAATCTTGAATGTATTTGACGTGGAATCCACCACTTTCTAACAATTCCATGTGCTGTTTGGTTTCTTTGGATCCACAAGAAGAGCCCAAATGTTAGCCAAATTGTCTTGACATCTTCAAGAGAAGAACCTCTGTTCTAAGCTAGGGGAGACGTATTAAAAGTACAGTTCTTCCTTTCCACAGAACAGTGTTCACAAAGGTAGATGTTTTCTGACTCTGAGGTAGGATTAATACCTGCAGATTCAGGATCTGTCTGATGCTCCATCCTCTCTGGGAAAAAAATATATATATTGAACCAAATCTGAGTTTATTTAATTAAAATAAAAGTTAAAAACACCCAGAAACTTGAAATCACCTGTTTTTCTGAAACTCTTGGATGAAACTGAATGAGTCTGGCAGAAAATTCCCAAGCTGTACAGCAGCTCTGTAGCAGAAACCACGCCAGCTTCTTGAACTTCACCCCTTTAACATTTCCAGTGGCTTTCCATTTTTTAACAGCACAGAAGAAGGCAAACCTGACCTTGGTGAACTCTTGTAAGCAATGTGTCAACAGAACAGGAAAAACAGAAAACCAGCCCCAATTCAGCAGGAATCAGCAACCCCTCTGAAAGTGCTGCATGCTAGAAGAGGGGTGATCATCTTATGCAAACCACTGCAGGCTCCAACAGGAACTTCTCCGTGCTGCTGTTATGCCCTGGCTCTCACAAGTTTCATTCTAACAAAGAATGACTTGGTTTTCTTCATTTGCTGAGTTTCACTATTAGGCTATGGGGCTTTGCCCTCATATTTGAGGGAAAGAGAAACACTGATGTTGGCTTCAGTGGTTGCCTTTCATGCTGAAACATTGTCAGCCTAATATATTTTATTGGCAGCAACTGAAGTCAGATGCTTAAACCTCATATGGAGAGTGAATATTTGCAGAGGGGGGTTGTACCGAACTGCCTCATGTACTTGCACATGTCTGAATGGCAGTAAGCCACAGACCCCAAATGTTTTTCTCTCTCTGTCTTCTGGTCTTCAGTAATTTAATTCCTCTACTGCATGGATGGTGGCTGGTCCCTTCAGAAACTCATATTAACTGGTCCCCCTTGAGCATGAGATTTCTCCTCTGTGTCTTCCCAAGGCAGGTATGAAGGCTGGCTGCTTCCAGGTGCTGCCGGCACTGCTTAGCTTCCACTTCACATTCCCCAAATTCCATCCTGGTGTGTCTAGGCAGATATGTCTTGGCTGCTTAAATTGAAAAACAATAACATTCAAATGCACAGGGGTCAAACAGAAAGTCAGGTAACTGCTTTAGGCTTAGACTAAGATTACCAAGAGGGAGAGATTCTGTGAATAGTAAAGCTGAAAGGACTGGCCTTGAATGCAGCAGTGAGGAAGCAGAGGCAGCCCTACAGAGAGACAAACAGTCTGAGCATGGATATGATGTGAAGATGTGAGAAACAACTGGGTGAAGCAATTTCCAATAGTTTTAACTCCAAGGAATTGGAGAGCAGGACTAGCTGTAGCACAACCAAACTGCAAACATTCAGAAAGTTTTGTATTTGTGGTAGTGTTTTAAAGATCCTTGCCTACTTTGCTTTTGTTTTTTCTCACCCTTTTACCAGCGAGTGTAGATGACAAGCAGAGCTGGAAATCACAATATTAAATTCTTCACTAACCACAAATTCTCTGACTATAAAGAGAAAGGCAAAGTGATGTGAAGAAAAGAGGCCACTAGAGTTCATCTAATGACACCATGTGTGAGGCAGTCAGGATGCTCAGTGTAGTAAATGAAACCATGTTACTGTATAAGGAAAGATTTGGGTATAGTGACTGTTATATCTGAATGATCACAGCATGCAAGTACAGAAGACAATGATCTTTCCAGAGTTTGTGGAGAAGCAAATCCTTGCTTTATCTAGGCACAGCTGAACTTTGCAGACCAGTGCGTTAATGCCACACCAGGTCAGCAGGGCTATAATTGTCTCTAACCAGAACAGTCAAAAGTTGCAGAGTTCACTCTCTGCTGGGTGAGTGACACCCAGAAATTCTTTCTAGACTTAAAAACAAGCAAAGAGACAAGTTTGAACCTGAACTTCAGTGTAATCATGCCACTCAGCAGCATAAACAAACATGGTACCAATTGGAAAATTATTCTTGAGGAGTCAGTTTTGACTGATCCAGATAAGAAGTTCCCAAAGTTAGGGTCGTGCCCCTGAGGAGTGCTGAAGGAAGAGAGGTCACAAGCCCGGAAAGGAGGTTTCAGGCTGAAAATCTTGGAAACTGCTGATCTAGACAAATAAATGGTCATGCCAAGGGGGTTCCCCTAGAATATCTCTTTTCCATTCTCCTGCCTTGCAAGCAATAACTGGAGGGAGTTTTAAAGCTGGCAAGGCTAGCCTGTTTGTAACATGCTGATGTATTTCTAAAAGCAGATCTCTGGAAAAGAGCCTGAGATCAGGGAGATGAGAGCAAGGCAGGCTCTTGAGGGAAGGATGTGGAACAAAGAGAAGGGAAGGAGAGGCAGGTCTGTGGGAAACAGGATCTGCAAAGGAAAAGTAAGATTGAGTGGAAGAGATGTAGGCTTGTTAAGGTTGTAAGACAGCTTTGTAGTCTAACTTGGAAGGTTACATTAGTCTCACAACAACTTTGAAAGACAAAGCCCTTGGTGCTGAGCTGCATACCATCATGTGGAAACTAGCATAATTTTTGGTGGAATTAATGTGTGGCCAAAGTAAGGTATGTATAACTGATGCATACACAGAAATAAGGCAAGATCTTTGAGTCTCCAAATGGCTGTCTTCACTCTCCTGGTGCTTTGAAAGCTACCAACGTCAGGCTCTAAATTTACTTACATAAAGAAAAAACCACTGTTACTGGGAAATTCTGCAGATTAGTTTATAATGAAAAAATTGGAAAATATAAGCAGACCAAAAAATTAGCATGGCTTACACTCTTAATTTTGTCTCATCATTATTAAAAAAAAAAAAAAAAAAAAAAAAAAAAAAAAGTTTTATCAGTATTTGGTAAAAGTCTCTAAATGTTGAATACTGGTGATTCTTTTTGCCAGCGAAGTGGTAAGTTGTTGTTTGTGGCAAAGATTTTCAGCCCAGCCAAGGGCCGAAAGTGCAAATTTTTCAGAAAGACCCCACAGAACCTTTCAGTATCTAAAGGAGGACTGTAAGAAAGGAGGAGACAGACTCTTCAAGAGGGCCTGTTGTAATAGGACAAAGGGAAATGGCTTCAGACCAAAAGAGGGGAGACTCAGTTTGACTATAAGGAAAAAGCTTTTTACAGTAAGGGTGGTGAGGCACTCCATCAGGCCGGATGAGCTCTGAGCACCTGTTGGAGCTGTGGGTATCCTTGTTCACTGTGGTGGAGTTGGACCAGATGGCTTTAAAGGTCCCTTCCAACTCAAATGGTCACATCAGGCTGCTGACACACGTCCTGTGCTGAGGTCTCAGCAGGCCGAGTCTCCTTGCTGCTAAGGTTTGTGGGAACCTGCTGAACTCTCCCCTGGGCTGCACAAAATAAACAGAGCACCTGCAAGTCATGTGGGCTTTTATAATACCAAATTAGTGTAAGAATAAGAGGGGTGTTGGCACCGTTAAATGGGTATTTTGAACAATTTTGTCTACAGCACCCTACTTGCTACCCAAGGGCACGGAGGATGAAAGCAATAGATTTGGGGCAATTAGGAGGGAGTATAGCAATCATGCAAGTTCAAGTCAGGGACGGAAACTAGGCCTGGAGGTTAGTAAGCCAGCACAGGTCATCATCATAAAACAAACATCGGGGCTGTGTGGTGCAATACCTGTCTGAGGCTATGTGCTAGAAACAATGTAGAGGTAAAGTCAATAACATTGTGTGGTATTTATTTAGTAGCATTATGTTGAGAGGTATTAATGGACCAGGAGATCTCTGCAGGGGTTGCCTGGGTGCTGTATTTCGGGCTCTAAGATGGAGCTGGCCAGGCCTGTTGCAGCGCAGAGGCAGGCAGTGCTGCAGGGACGAGGCCACAGGGCAAGGTGGGGACAAGTAGCCCTGCTGCTCCAGTTACTGCTGCGGGAACTAGTGCTGACCCACAGACACAGGTGCTAGAGGAAGCCCAGAGGAGGTGTTGTGCTGAAGACCCTGAGAGCAAGGGAAGGCAGGCAGACCTGAGCCTTAAGCACACTACTGGGGTGGATTCTTGAGCAAGGCAACTCTTTTCTGCTGCTTGTTTTTAGCGAGAAAAAAAACGTTGTGAGCCTCTTTGTGATTAAATGAACATATACCAAGACTGAACCTGTTTTGAATCCTGTACAGCTTTAAACAGCAACAAATTGGTCACACGAGCGATGCCAAAACTTCAGGCCTACGTGTCAAGAGTCATGGACACTTTGCTCTTGAAAGAACCTGATTTTGCAGGATGCTCCGGTCTGAATTTGTCGGTAAGATTTGTTTAAGACTTTTGTGTGCTTATCTCTCAAGTGCGGGAATAGTTTTAGTGAAGCCATAGCAATCATTCACATATAAAGTTACAGGCATGCTTCAGACAAGACCAGATTGGTGCAGAACCGGTCCTTATCTCCTGTTCTGGTGATCCAGCCTGGACCAGTCCCTACAAGTTTCTCTTCAGAGTTTAAACTAAGCCTTTGGTTTGAGAATTGTGAGGTTTTATTTTCATAATTACCTTTAGTTTCCGAGCTGCCCTTGAGGCTATTTGGAATCCATTGAAATATGCTGAATTCTAAATCAGATGTTTCTGTATTTCGTGTCAAAGGCACAGATACGAGGTTTATGATACCTTCTGTTTGATGCTGTGCTCAGAATCTATCATTCCAGCTAGGGTGATTTTTTTCTTTACATCAAAGCATATGACTTTGGTTTCCCAGCTACTTCCTCAAATACCTTTTCCAGTTTTCAGAATAACTTATGGGGAAAAAAAGTACAGATATCATCACGATGCTCAAAATTGTCACAGTTTTAACTATCTGACTAGTGACCATACAAATGTAAAGAAAGGGTCCAGGTTCATGTTACAGGACATTCATGTTCAGCTTTACACTGACTCCAGTGGTTGCTAGCTTTAGTACATTAGCAATCCAGTCCTATAGCTCGTCCAGTTCATCTCCGTATGTGCATTTAAGTTCCAATGTATTTCTGGTAGTCAGATTGTTTGCATGATGCTATCCATAACCATCTCAAGATACATGGCATCCTTTTTGCAAGGGAAGTTTTCTAGAGAGCAGACAGGAATTTTTGGTTCTCATGTTCTTCTAAAGATTCTTCATTCTTCCTATTACTGCTGATTATAGAGCTCATTTCTGTGATACCACCCTTAAATTGTTTGCAGGTTAACATGCCAGCTGTTGAAACATAACATAAGGGCTAATTTATACCCCAATGGAGCTCCTGTGTACTGAAAGGAACTTTTCCTGGACAAAATATGTTTTCAGCCTATCCAAAATCATTAAGTCTTCAGAAAAAGTCCTTTGTGTGAAATGTAATGCTCCCACTTGAAAGCTAGGCATGATAAAAATACCAGAATACAAGATGGGAGGGAGGAGGAGAAAAAAAAAAAAAAAGGATTTTCTTGCTACAGGCTATTGGGGAATGTAGCTGTAGAAACAGATGAATTCACTTAATGAAGCAACTTTGGAGTATACGTTTTCTATCTGTAGACAAAAGACAGTTTTTATATTTCAGTAGTAACAGTGTTTTCTAAGAAGCTGTGACCTTTAATATGATTATATATGAATTTGTGTATGTGAATGTGATATACAAATATGTTAATGAATCAAACAACTTGGGACCTTCCAAGTTAATGAGCTGATGCAAATTTCTGAGTCATCGCAGCCCAAAACCATGTTCTGAATTTTTACAGTATTCTGGGATGCAGAGGGAACATCAGGTATTTGATCTGACTGATACCATCATGTGCTTTCCTTTAAGTTTCCTAATGTGTGTCTTAGAGACAGACAGATGCACACATACACCTGGAAACGAGTGGCACTGACATAACGTGGGACATATTCAAATTTATCAGAGAAGTGAAGCAAGTCAGCTAACTACAGCAATTAATCTGTAGCAGAATAGGGCTTCAACAAGGATTCAAGCTTCGGTTAGTTTGCATCATCTTAACATCTCTCTTCTTCCTTGCTCTTCCCTTATGTTGTGTTTCCTAGTTCATACATACACTGCCACATACAGATTCCTGTATGGAACTGGGCAGATTCCTGGCAGATCCAACCAAGGACAGTAATGTCAGCACAGAGACCATTTGTGGAATGGTCTAGGTGGTATCTAACACGTTGTAGTTTCTGCTGAATTCTTATTCCCTTGTTTCTAATCCTATATAATGGTGACAACTAAGTCCTGCTAGCTGTTTCTGAGAGGTATTCTGGAACATGGCCTTTAATAACAGGGAATTGAAAAATGGCAGGAGAGTGCCTTCCGGTCCTGCATTCCTTCAAAGAGTTCCTTAACAATGCACAGTATTTCTTGATGCTGCATAATACCTATTTCTGAATTCCAGCTGCAGCTCAGGCTTTCTTCTTGGTCCTGCTGGAGTAGCTGGCATTGTTTCATCTGATATGAGGGGGAGTCTGTTCAAAGAAGAAAAAACACACAAAAATGTGTTTAAAGCATTTCCATCCAATCTGAACATGATTTTTCAAGATCTTGCAGAGTGTCTGTAGCATAGGCAGCTACAGTATTAATAGCACTTTACTAACAATGTACCAGAGCCCTGTAACTCTCATATAATAAATGAATTGTAAATACCACTCTCAGCACAAACAATTAACAGGATCTATAGTACATTCTCTCTATAAAGACTGTCAGTTCCCCCATGCTCTGAGCGTGCTGAAATTCTCAGAGAAACTGTAACTGAGTGCAATTATGATTGGATCTAAATATTTTTGGTTGTTGATGATGTCATCAAAAATGATAAAATGTATGAAATTTCATACCTTTGTGCCAGCACATCCCAGCTTTACAAAGGCAGGCTGTGGCTGAGTAGTGCAGTTTTTAATGTTTAGCATAGATTAGGAGGATCATTTGCATGAACATCAATTTCTGCAGCGCAAAAAGTTTACTGAGAAGCACCTCACTTTTGGTTTCCAGAAATCAGAAAGTGAAATTTGTACGTATGTTTACAAGAATTGGAAGCTGAACTTCAGGAAGTCACATGATTTCCAGTTACGCCCCATATACGGGCATTTAGATCATGAAAGCAATAAAAAAAAACACTTGCTGTTACAAGTCTGAAGCTGACATGCATTATCTCTGTGTAGCCATGTTCCCAGGCGTATGGCATTAGGTTCTTCCCTCTTTGTTCCAAGAAATTATACCACTAGGTAGTTCAGAGAAGTCACAGTCCCAAACTGAATGTACAGTGGCTGATACAGGGAGGAGTTTTCTTTGGAAGCTCAGAAGGACAGTATCCAGTAGAAAGAAAAGCACAGCCCCTTGTATACTTGACTGTCAATAGCTGAGTAAGTAACTCCCAGGCAAATAACCGTGTATGGGGGGAAAACCTTGAGGGACGTGACTTAGTGGGCATGGTGGTGATGAGTTGATGGTTGGACTATATGATCTTAGTGGTCTTTTCCAACCTTAATGATTCGATGATTTAACTTTATCTGAGTAAGAAAAGTGGAATACAAGAAAGGAAAAATCTACTGTTAGCTAAACTCATAGATGTGCATTTTCTACCAACTTTTCCTAAATGACTACAAGCCCTGCTGCTTCCATCTCCTGTAGAGAATGGTGTGGTTCAGAAGAGGTGTCGTGAGGTCAAGTGTTTATGACAGTGCCACTGGATATATAATGCAAACATACATTTTTTGTTGTTGTTGTTAACTTTGCCTGCGTTGGTTGAGTTGCTCACCTCCAATAAAATGAGTTAACTCCCTAGATTTAGGGTACTCCTGTGCCTCATCTGACTCTTTCAAGGCGGCTCTGAGCCAGATCTTTCTTTCCCCACCTTATTCCTCAAATGCGTGTGCTCTCTTTCTGTGGACACTCATAAATGCAGCATGGGGAAAGTGTCTGTGTACCTGAGGGTAACTCAGCTGACTCCCTGGGCAATGGCAGTTAAAGGAGAATTCAGAAATTTGGAACAGAATCATTACTTCAGATATGTTCCAAAAGTGCTGTCTGTTTTCCCTCCAGAAAAGGAAACTGAGCTGAATTGCAATAGAAGCAACTGTGGGATTTTTGGAAGACAGTAGATGGAATAAGGATAAATCTATGTGTTGTGAGTGGGTAGATCCATCCTATGGGTACCAAATTCTTGCATTCTACACAGCAACCAGTCAGTTTCTTTAGCTGGAGGCTGCAAGCTTCATCCCAAACAGCAAGAAGTTCCTGCTATTGTAGAGCCCAAAAAGTATCCTTAGGAACGTAGAAACCCCTCTGTTGCTTATCAGCATAAATATAATTAGGATGCCTTTACAGTAGAACATTTGCTAAGAGAACTGGAGTTCAGTGCTGCCCATACTCTGTTTTTCTATAGACAGCTGCTTTGGTATATTTTTGCATGATGAATCTTAACCAAAATCCATATTCAAAGATTTCCTCCAGACAAACCTTGGGCTGATGACCTCTGAGGAGGAGGGAGCCTGATCTGTGTAGAAGCATCAGCATTGACTGCAGGATGCAAAGTAACATCTGAAATATAAGGAAGACCTTCTATAAATGTGTGATGAGGCCTTTCTGTTCCTATAATTAAAACATTTATGTGGTTGAGCTCCTCCTTTCAAACTACCAAATGACTACCAAAACCACTCCTTCAGAGGTCTGCAGACAGTTACCCAGGTAATGAAGAAGGGCAGGGTGAAGGAGGAGGAAGATTAAGCACGAATAATAGAAAATATATGTCAGTGACCCTATGACTATTCAGGGTGTTCATCTTTTATAATATGGGAAGTGTATTTCCTTAGAGCACCAGGAAAATGCTGGCAAGTGTGAGATAATCAAGCACTGGCCATGTTCTTTATATTATTTTGCTGTTTTCTTCATTAAAGCATCCATTTTCAACCAGCCATAATCAAAAGTGCTGCCATGTTGATATTCTTCCACATATATTCTAATTATTCACTGGATTTGGAGGTGGTCTTAATGTAAGTTATGCTATATAATCTAACATGTAGTATATATATATTTAGCATATAATACAAGGGTAACACTGACCAGGAAGTGGAGATGCTACAAAACTCTTTGCAATGCATCAGAATGCAGCTCACAATCATTTTTGAAGATCACTACACTGACAGTAGAAAAGACTTATTTTCCTGTCAGTAGAGACACTCCTCTGCTGTGACCAAATCTCACATTTTATATTGGCTCCTTTATTCTTTCTAGAAAGGAAAATAAAATGTCCTGTAGGGATCAATACATCTTGAGTCTGTAATACTGAGTCTTTCCTGATGGTTTCAAATGCTGGAGGACTTTCATAGTTCTTATAACAACTGTGTGTCAGCTTTAGGATTTGAATCTACAGGCTGAAATCCCTTACCCAAAGAAGAGGCAAACCCTTCCAGAGGCACTCAGCAGTAGCCTTCCTGCCTGATTCAGCACTGTTGATGCCAGTGTAAGTTTTACTCAGGATTTCACAAGGCTCCTAATCAGGCCTGAGGACTGTGGTCCTTTCTTTGCTCCATCTCTTTGTGCAGTTAATGAGCTTACACTTACATAAGGTGTGTAAGAGGGGCTTCGTGCCATGCGTGATGGGAGCTTTGCCCCAAAGCACTGACAGCGTGAGTTCAGATTTGGCACAAGGAGTGAAAGTTATAAACAAAATGTGTCATGGCAGTGAGATCAAGGGTTGCTCTGGTTTGGTAGGTGAATATCCTGATGGCCACGCTGATTAAATAGAGTGAGTCACAGCTGTAGGCTGGGAGGAAGAAGTGGGATGGCAGAAGGATGTGACTGTGCAGAGACCTGGTGAGCAGAGATTAGGAGGGCAGTTCGTGCCCAGAGAATAGCTTGTCTACTGGTGTCATTGTTTTAGGCATTTAAAACAGACTGGGTTGATCACTAACGAAGATGCCCAAGGGAACAATGTTGTACCGATTATCTTCCTGAGAGTTTGGCTGTTTTGGTTCTCTTTATTCTATACAACAGAGCTTGTTTGTGATGTTTCATCTTTAGTTAGAATGTCTCTAATTTGGACATCCATTTAATTTGGAAGGTTTCCACCAGACACCAATGAGACTGTCTGATTAAAGTCATGACTTATAACCAAACTCGCTCCATGTTGCTGACCGCAGTTTGGTTATGAATTGTGAAAGAATGTTAAAATCCAGTGTATTTTTCTCTGTGTGTGCTCTGTTTATTTTTATTTTTAACACTTTGATTGGGCAATGAAAAATGTCAGTGATGCTAGTTGCATGTCTTTAGGTACAAATTTGCCTTTCAGCTATTGCATGGGAGTGATTATTTGCTTTTAGAGACTGACATCTGCGGATTTTTAGTTCATTCTTCTTAAGTCTCTGGAAAAAAATATGGCATTGCATAAAAGCCTGCAGTATGAAAGGTAAAAGCAGAGCCAATATGGGGACTACAAAATCTTTTCATGTCTGTGACTTCCAGAGAGCAACAGCAACAATCTGAACAGAGGCTGAAAGCAGCAGCATTATTGCTTCTCTTTCTCCTGAATTCCTTTCATCAGCCTAGTGACTGCATGTGTCCTGATGACACATTTCTGGGTCACGTGTCCCCAAAAGATGGGCTATATGGAGACACACAGCATGGAAAGTATTCTGACCAGAGACTAGTTATGTTGACAGGTTCCTCGTGTGACGTACATTTCTATATTCCTCACATGGACTTTATTAATAGCACAAGGCTGAGACAGAGCCAGTTATTATTCTTTATGTAAATAAAACAACAGAAATAAATGCTCTCTTGTTCCTTATCGTATTAAACCTGCAAATAGCTTATTACCCTATAAGGCAGCTTAGGCTGGCATATGAGAGCACTGGAAAACACAGAGCAGGCGCCAAGATCTGCCCAGCCAAGCTGTGCAGGAGAGGAGTGAAGGCACAGTCCAGAGCTGGAGGAAGAATAGGAGGCTCGGGTAATTACTGTAAAAGCCACCCTCAAGCATAACCAAGCTGGATGCTTGTTTTGTTTTTTGGTCCAGTGGAAATACTGCAATGGAAGAGCTGGATAGTTTTCTTCCTTGACAACATCAGAGATGTTGCTGCTTTTCCCAGTCAGCTGTCTCCCATTCACTGGGACCTGGACTACCCACTCTGCAGGGCAGTGCTCTGGTTAGGAGGTCAGAGACAGAACATTCTGTAAGTGTAAGCAGTTCTTATTCAGACACTTCTCAGGCTCATCGGTCACTTCCACTGAAGTAATAGTTGTTTCAGCTAGCAGTAGCAGCAAACTGTTGCCCTGGTATATGAGTTAAATACATGGAGGTACAAAGCAGCGTTAGACGCTGTGAATCCTGTCCTTTCTGTTAGTGCTTTCTTCTGCCACCAATCTGGGTGGGAAGGACTTTTATTAGTTGTGAGTCTTCCATCCTGATCACAACCAGTTCCTTTTATCTTCATCACCATGGAGAAGTACAAAAGGCGGTTTGACAGAGGATGAAGCTATTGCTGATGTGATGAACATGAACTAAACCTGGAATTCCTAAACATGCAGGGCCTTCGGCCTTGCTCTGAGTTCATCATTGATAACTATTAAAAGGGGTTGCATTTTTACAGGTTCAGTCTAAGAAATAAATACTTTTCAGTTGTAACATTCAGAAAATTCCCCTGTGTTCTTAAGTTCAAATGATGGAAATAAATGATAGAAATGGTGTTTAAGTGCTAAGCAGGATGTGGCAATAGAGTTATTTCATTTACATCTGCACTGTGAGCAAGAAATTCATCATAAATGTACCAGGTCAATGTGGTTTTCCACCATGCTTATGAGGGTGATTTACCTCCTGTGTAATCAAAATAAAGACACATTAGTGGCTAGGAATATTTTCTAAGTCATCCAAGTTGACATGTTTTAGCTGTAGGGGAGAAATTGATTTTGAATTCTACTGATTTCCTTTCCTTGATGTCTCAGTTAAACACACCACAAAATGATTTCATGAAAATTTTCTGCCGCTGTTACTTGTAATGGCTCGGAAATATCAGGATATCCTCGAAGTGGAGCAGCCTTCTCCA